CTTCCTGCCTGCGGAGAAGGCACACTTCAGTCCAGTGCTGTCACGAGGGAGGGCTCTGCTTCTGCAGGTGTCCACCATGCCAGGGCTCGGGTGAGCACCTCAGTTTGGAGGTCAGGGTCAGCAAGGCACTTGAGACCTAAAGCAACATTCCCCAAGCTGCTTCACAAATGATAAAGATGATGTTATAATTATTATCTGATTTTGGTATCTATCTCTCAGTTTCCAAATTAGGGAGGGAAAGGGGAACCAGAGCTTTTCAAAATGAAACACCTTGGTTGGGTCCCAAGGTTGGCATGTTTAAAAATGCCTTGCTATAGTTCATCATGAAGTATTTCAGGCATTCAAAAAACATAGATACTACTATAACACACCTACCACCTGACTGCAATCAATCAGTAAGTTTACTCAACTGTTTGGCTTCCTAGGCGGTGCTAGTGGCAAAGAACTCCCCACCAATACAGGAGACATAAACGATGCGGGTTCCAACCCTGGGTCAGGAAGATCCCCTGGAGGAGGGCATGGCAACCTATACCCATGCCCATGCCCATTCTCCAGTGTTCTTGTCTGGAGAACCCCATGGACAGAGAAGCCTGGTGGGCTACAGTCCATGGGGTCACAAAGAGTCCACAGGGTCATAAAAGGTGGCAACATACCTACCACCTGATTTCAATCAATCAGCAAGCTTATAAGCTGTTTACGTTTGAAAAAATTTTAAACTATTCTAGTAAATTCCAGAATCTTCTATTATTTTAAAGTCTAAAGGTTCTGGATCTTGCAGACAAAGAGTTCCTCTAAAACAAAACACAAAACTTCCATAATAGCCAATCCCCCTCAGCATTTTTTCTAACTTACTAGATCATTGGTTTATTATCAGTGCTCTACATGTGCAAGAAAAGTTCTTTAGTAACAAACTGTAGAAATGATCCTTGTGAGTGTAGTCTTGCCAATCCCATTTTTAGCTCCTGTATTGCCCAATATGTTGCATACCATCTGTTAGTCTAATGAAATGCCTCAAGGCTCAAATTGTAAATTTTGAAACTTTTAACTTTTGATATGTGATTGAAGATCCCATTCTAATTTGGATTAGATGCTGGATGAAGTTTAAGCAGATTTGGGACTGGGCTGCATGACTAACATCATTCAGCTCAATTCCCAGCTTCTAGGCAAGAATGGTTTTAGAATCCATTTATTTACCTTTCACTCCAGTCATACTTATGTGAGGGACACCAAACAGTTAGAGAAAATCTGAGCAGATTTGAGAAAGGAGGAGCAGTGTAAACTCTTCAAAGAATTGCTAGATGGGTTTAGAGATGCCAAAGCTATTACTGGTGGATAGTCAGTATAAAGAGTCCTCTGGCCTTAGAGAACATGTTTAACAAATGAGTAGATGGAGACTTGAAGGGAAGATAGACAAATTGAACCATGTTAAATATAAGCCAGGCAGAAGATTAAATTCAGGCCAGGGTTTGTTATTGCTTTGTGAGATTATCCACTCTAGGGTGGTGAAGGTACCTTTGGAACATAAAGAACTCACTGACTTCATGTAGTTACCCCAGAGATATAAAGAGCATAGTTTGAAAAACAAATGAAACAAATGGCTGGACTTGAGGAGGGAGGCACTGGCGAGAAGCTGGGAGGTCAAGAACATGAAAAAGAAATCAGTTACCAAAAGCCTACACGTGGTGAGAGAGCTACATAAAATAGACTAATTTATGAAACAAATTAAATGGTTAAAAGGTGCATGATTTGACTATCTTGTGTGATCATCTAACTTTTTGAACTGATCAACATGAATGTGAGACTATAAGCACTTCAGTAATTAAAAAATCCCAGGCCACAACTGCTGAAGAAACTTGAAACCCATCCAAGTGTCTGAGTGAGATGCTTCTGCCAGGACTCAGGAGTAATTGTGGAGGAGTACTAACTGGTAGGGCTTTCCAGGTGGCGCTAGTGGTAAAGATCCCACCTACCAATGCTAGGAGACACAAGAGATGGGGTTTGATGCCTGGGTCGGGAAGATTCTTGCCTGGAGAATCCTGTGGACAGAGGAGCCTGGAGGGCTACAGCCCGTAGGGTCGCAAAGAGTTGGAAACAACTGAGGCAATTTAGCATGTGACTGTTAACACACACAGTGACTGTTAACAATGTTTGGTAATCTATGATAGATTCATATTTACAGTAGTATAAACCATCAGTCTACCTAACTTATGTTACCAAATGTATCTATTTCTCCATGGTTAGTTAGTTAGGCTTTTTCAATTAAAAATGAAGTGAAAATGACACTTCAATTGAAAGTGTCAAATCCAAGCTAAGTAGTAAAAGAAAAACATATGGCCTTCAGTAAATATTACAGAAGCTCCCTAGTTTAGACATGCTGGATATATGTGCATATATAATATCAGAAAGGGACAGTTCTCTTTTTCCCCATCTCTCTTTCATGTCTGTTTTCCTCATGTTGATGCTTAACAGGTTTCTCTACCTAGCAAAAAAAAAAAAAAAGGAATCTTTGTAACCTTATAGGTAAGCTCCAAATCTATATCATTCTTGGAACTCTGGATCTGAGAAAGTAGAATATGATCTTTTTTCCACATTCTTACCAATCTTCAAAAAGACACTATTTAATCTTGCTTGAAAACATCTTCAAATGGGGCCAGCCTTTCTATTCAGGCATGTGGGATATATGATTGGCCAACTTTGGTTCAACTGGTTATGGGCCAAGTTGTGTTTTCCCAGATTCATATACTGAAGTGCTAACCCCCAGTAGCTCAGAACGTGACTGTGTTCTTGGAATTGTTCTTTAAGGACGTATTTAAATCACTGCAAATGGTGACTGCAGTCATGAAATTAAAAGACACTTGCTCCTTGGAAAGAAAGCTATGACAAACATAGACAGCATATTAAAAAGCAGAGACATCACTTTGCCAACAAAGGTGTATATATTTAAAGCTATGGTTTTCCCAGTAGTCATGTATGGATGTGAGAGCTGGACCATAAAGAAGGCTAAGCACTGAAGAACTGATGCTTTTGAAGAACTCCTGTGGTGCAGGAGAAGACTCTGGAGAGTGCCTTGGACTGCAAGCAGATCAAATCAGTCAACTCTGACGGAAGTCAACCCTGAATGTTCACTGGAAGGACTGATACTGAAGCTGAAGCACCAGTCCTTTGGCCACCTGATGCAAAGAGCTAATTCACTGGAAAAGACCCTGAGGCTGGAAAACATTGAAGGCAAAAGGAGAAGGATGCGATGCTTAGACAGAGTCACTGACTCAATGGATATGAATCTGAACAAATTCCAGGACACAGTGAAGGACAGAGGAAACTGGCATGCTGCAGCATGGAATCACAAAGAGTCAGACATGACTTAGTTACTGAACAACAGCAAAGTTAAAATGAGGTCATTAGGGTGGGCCTTAATGCAAAATGACCATGTTTCCTTTAAGAGGAAATTTAGATGCAGACCTGTACAGAGAGGAAGACCATATAAAGGTACAGGGAGATCTACAAGCCGGAGACTAAGCGCTCAGAAGAATTCAGCCTTACTGACCCTCTGATGCTGCATTTCTCGCCTTTGAAACTGTGACAAAATAAATTTCTACTGTTTAAGCCATGTAGTCTTTGGTGTTTTGTCTTGTCCACCATAGCAAACTAAAATACATTTCTAGTCCTGTAGTGTTATGGGGTAAGTGTGGCCCTTTGATTGCCCACTCAACCACTAACTCCAGAATGGGAGACAGGCAGGCCTGAAAGGAGGAAAGGAGAGTTTATTATAACTGATTTCTTATCTAAGCTTTTCAAAACATTCTGAACCTCAGCTTCAATCATCACAATTTTGCGTACGTTGGAATGGCACCTGAGGTTAGTATTTTCAAGGCAAGAGACTGCCACACAAAGTGGCAGATAGTGTTAACTGGAGGGGTGTAGTCAGAAAAAGCCACGTTCTTAAATACTCCTGGTGGGCTGGGTATAAAGAATCTACCAGTTTTCTCAATTAGAATATCATCATTCAAGGCATACATTAAAGAAAGCAGTTTCACTCTTGTAGATTGCACGGAAATCTACAATGGACTGAGAAAGGAATGCCTTTTCCCCCCTTTGTTTTCCAATGAATGGAGCCTGATTCTAACCCGCTAAAATTGAGAAGAAGAAGAAGAAAAAAAAAAGTACTCATTAAACCTCCTAATGCATTAATTTAAAATATTTGGGGCATTTGAGTTTCCCTCTGAAAAAAATGAAAAAGTGTTGGGTCTCACCGCTAAAGCCATTTCCGCCAGGCAGATAAATAAGTACCTGCTGCGAGGGCATTTGTGTTGCTCTGAAATCTTGAAGCAGATGTGGAAAGAAAAGCCCATTATACAGAGCGAAGTAAGCCAGAAAGATAAAGACCATTACAGTATACTAACACATATATATGGAATTTAGAAAGATGGTAACGATAACCCTATGTGCAAAACAGAAAAAGAGACTCAGATGTATAGAACAGACTTGTGGACTCTGGGAGAAGGCGAGGGTGGGATGTTTCAAGAGAACAGCATCGAAACATGTATATTATCTAGGGTGAAACAGATCACCAGCCCAGGTTGGGTGCATGAGACAAGTGCTCAGGCCTGGTGCACTGGGAAGACCCAGAGGGATCGGGTGGAGAGGGAGGTGGGAGGGGGGACCGGGATGGGGAATACATGTAAATCCATGGCTAATTCATTTCAATGTATGACAAAAACCACTGCAATGATGTAAAGTAATTAGCCTCCAACTAATAAAAATAAATGAAAAAAAAAATAAAAAAGAACTGAAAAAAAAAAAAGAAAAAAAGAAAAGGCATTGAGTGCTCACATGGAGTGGGCAGGAGTGGGCCTTGAAATCCGGCAGGCGGGACAACATGGGTCTGGACAGTCTGGCGAGGTGTCGTGAGGAAGACGCGAGAGCGCCCGGCTGCGGTCGGTCGCCAGCTGGCCGAGGGCGCTGCGCCGAGTCCCGCCAGGGAAGAGGAACTGGAAGGCCGCTTATACCCAGTTTGGCAGGTGTCTGAGGCTGGGCCGCCTTCCTCCGGGTCTTGGTGCTTGCGCGTTTCTGCCGGGACTTGCCTGGGGCAGCTGTCTGCCGGCAGGGTCGCCCCGGATCAGACACGCACGCGCGGCCCGGCCGCAGGTGCGGACCTCAGGTCGGCGGTGAAGCGGAAGCCTCGCTCTCGGGGCCTTCCCGACAAACACGCGGTGCTGGCCCCCGCGCCTCTTCTGCGACGTGGCCCTGCTGGCGGCGGGGGCAGACATGGACTTCCACCAGGAGGTGGGATCCCACGCGGCCAGGAGGCCTGCGTGCTGCAGAGACAGCGTGGGCCGTGTGGACGCTCCGCCGGGCCCGCGCTGCGGCCACCCCCGGGGCGAGGCGCAGGGCCCCTCGGTGCTCCGTGTCCGGTGCTCCTGCTTGGTGGCGCCTGGAGACCGGCCACCAGGCTGCTCTGTTCCCCTTGAGGTACTGCGCGCCCTGGGTGATGTCGGGGAGGGTGATGTCGGGAAGGGTGATGGGGCGGGTGCTGGTGGGCCCAAACCCTGCATCCTTCCGGCTTCGGTCAGGTCCCGTTCATGTTTCTTGGCCGGGTTTAGAGCCTCAGTACTTGAGCTCTTGGCAGGCGGACACCTCGCCCTTGTCGGTGTCCTCAACCGAGTACTCGAGGAAGGACCGTGCTTTCATGTGCCTTCATGTGCTTGTCTGGGGACTCCGCTGATGGTCTCCTGGGTACTAGCTGACTGGTGGGATTTTTGTTGGTACCGGCTTCCCAGGTGGCGCTAGTGGTAAAGAACCCTGCCTGCCATTGCGGGAGACCTAAGACACGCAGGTTCGATCCCTGGGTTGGGAAGATCCCCTGGAGGAGGGCATACCACTCCAGTGTTCTTGCCTAGAGAATCCCATGGAGAGAGGAGCCTGGCAGGCTGCCGTCCATGGAGTTGCAAAGAGTTGGACAGGACTGAAGTGACTTAGCAGCACACTGCATAATTGATACTAGCAATATCTTACTAATCTCTGTTGTACGCAGTGTTTTAGTTATACATATATACTCTTTTTTCATTGTGGCTTATGAAGACCTCAAGTCTGTTCTCTGTGAGCCTGTTTCTGTTTGATAGATAAATTCATTTGTGTTATGTTTGAGACTCCACAGGTAAGTGACATATAATGTTTGTCCTTCTCTGATTTATTTCTCTTAGTATGATCATCTCTAGGTCCGTCCATGTTGCTGCGAATGCCATTACATTATTCTTTCTATGGTTGTGTAATATTCCATCTTGTATATGTACCACATTTTTATCCATTCATCTGTCAACGGACACTTATGTTGTTTCCATGTCTTGGCTATTATAAATAGTGCTGCTATGAAAATAGGGGTGCATGGATCCTGTCTTTTTGGATTATAGTTTTGTCTGGATATATCCCAGGAGTGGGACTGAGGGATCATATGTCAACTCTATTTTTAGTTTTTTGAGGAACTTCTTTACTTTTTGAGAAATTTCATAGTGATTGAACCAATCTGCATCTTGAGTGGGATTTTTTGATAGGAAGGCAGGTATGGTTCTCCTCTCAGTCCTTCAGGCAAATCTCCAAGTGCAACTGACTGGCCACTTTCAATGATGTGCTATCCCCACTCCTCCATGGTGTGTTTCACCATGACTGAGCAAATTGTAATCACACAGAATGTGAATTTTTAAAAATTTTATTTTATTACAAAAATTTTGTTTAATGTAGACCATTTTTAAAGTCTTTACTGAATTTGTTACAGTATTTCATATGGTTTATGTTTTGGTTTTTTGGCAGCAAGGTGTGTGGGATCTTACCTTCCTGACCAGGAATCAGACCTGCATTCCCTGCATTGGAAGGCAGTCTTAACCACTGGATCACCAGGGAAGCCCCCAGAATGTGAATTATAAGACTTGCTATTGTTGAGGTCAATGTTCTATATCCAAGAGCTCAAAGAGTTTAAAATTAATTTCCTTAATTCATCCTACCCATTCCCAAATACGTTTCTGTTCTTGCATTCCTCCTCCAAGTTACCCAGTCTCCCAAATGAGAAGACTGAAAATCATTTTATACTTCTCTTTTCATCCTAGTCTATTCCTTTTATCTTTCCTGCCACGTCCCATTCATCAGACAGAAAGTCCTTTTGGTCCTTCCCCTAAATATGTCTTGAGTCTGTCTTTTTTCTTAATCAAGTTTCTTGTTATCTGCACTGAACTGGAAGCCGTTTTTTTTGTGCATGAGGCTTTTCCTCTATGCTTTTCCTTATTTCAAATCCTAAAAGCATATGAAGTATAATACGCAGGATGTTTTGTGGAAATGAACGAAGTAATTTGGCCCCTGATTTTCCAGTTTCATGGCCTGGTACCTTTTCCTCCTACACTGCACCCATTCTGTACAGCGTCCTCTTCCATCAATTATCCAGATGATTCCATGTTTCTTTGCCTTTACATAAGCTGTTATCTCTGCCTCACATGTTCTTAGCAATCCATTGTTTACCTGGAAAGTGGATAGCAGAACAGTTAGTAGCAGAATTAACAACCCTGTGAAATTTCCTTTTACACCTCTGCTTGTGTGCAGACTTCGCTGGAGAGTAACAACTACATTTCTTTTTCTTCTGGCATGCAAGGAAACTGCTCAGCCTCCCTTGTTTGAAATGGCTATGGAAAGTGAATGGAAACTGTGTATTCTTAGACTTCCTTCTAAATTCCTCCCAGCTGACTTCCTCCACAGTTTTCCATTTTCAGATGGGGCTGCTTTAAAGAACCCCTCAAGGATATTTTGGTTCCTAGGTGGCTCAGTGGTAAAGAATCCGTCTGCCAAAGTCAGAGATACAGGAGATGCAGGTTCCATCCTTGGGTTGAGAAGATCCCCTGGAGACGGGTATGGCAACCCACTCCAGTAGTCTTGCCTGGAAAATACCATGGACAGAGGAGTCTGGCCAGCTACAATGCATGGGGTCACAGAGTTAGACGTGACTGAGCATGCACGAACGCAAAGGAGAAATGTGGAGAGTGGCTCACAAAAAACACCCTCGTAATTATAACTAACGAGGTTTTTTTTTTTTGCACATCAAATCCTCTAATTGGAAAACATATTGGATGTAAGCAGTCATATTTTTACCCAGTTACCACAGCCAATTCCTTTCGTTTGGGATAACAAGTGATATTGGTCATATTTTCAAATTCAAATGTAGTTTTCAAAAGTGTAATTTGTTATTTGTATTCTCATGAGTAGCAAGTGCAGTGGTGGTTTGTGCAAATTAACGCTCACAGTAGGAGTGTTTTAATACTACTGCATAATAACAGTATGCAATTTGAAAGGTAATTCTATTATGGCAAGTTTCCTGGGAAAAACAAATGGCCTGATTGTTATAAAATTTGGCTTCATTGTTAGAAATTACAAGTTTCTTGAATAGTAAATACTGCAGTCACTAGGCCTCTAAAACTGGAGTTTTGAAATGGTGGTAAGAAGAGGCAGTTTCATATAATTCTTTTCATTACCTGTCTCTTCTTTTTTTTCAAATTACCAAACCCCAGATTGAAAGTAAAAAAAGAGTTGTGATGGGAGCAAAAGGGTAATTGTTGTTCAAGTCAAAATAATAGCTCTTTTAGTTCTAAGTTTTTTTCTTCATTCCAGGGCAAATAAGATATTTTCAAGCCATTTTAATTATAATGAGTGATTGTTAAAATCATAGAGAATAGAAAATGCCTTTATTATTCAGGATTATTCTAGAAAATAATAAGTACAAATAGGTCTAGGAAGTACTGATTACTAAAATCCAATACAAGGACACATGAATATTATTGTTATATAGAACCGTATTTTATATTTTGTCTTCAGAATAAAGTCTTATTAATTTGAATTGACAAACTTTTAAAATTTGTGATAAATTAAGCATTTTATTCTAAACTTTGTTTTGTCTATTTTAAAACGTTGATGGTAAAAAATGAAAATTTAGAAGATTTTGTTATTTAAAAAAAGAAAAGGCATAATTCTGTTTATAGAGTTAATGTTAATTACATTGGAATCATGGCTGTTTACCAAGGTGCATATAATAGGATCTTGATTCATCAGTAATTGAGTTTATGTTACTATATATCTTTGGGGTGGATACAACTATATTTCTTTTAACGTATCATAGAATCTTTGTGTTTTGCATATTGTTCATATATTTCTTCATTAAATAACACAGGAATAAGCAGGTAGAGTTTAAAAGATTGACACTGCATCTTTGCTGTTGGGTAAAAAAATGCCTCTCTAAGTTAGCGTGCAAAGATTAAAAACATGAGATTCTAGGAAGATGGTAAACTAAATTGGGTGTTCTTCCTTTTCACTACCTACCTACTCCATCCAAACTGACTCAAATTGCTGCTAGAACCCATGGAATGGCTGGGTGGAAATGAAGCCTTCATTTCTCCCACTCTGATGGGCTAAGTGGCCCAACACCACTAAAGGAGCTTTGGGCTAGATTGTTAATCACCAAAATCTGTAGAGATCTTGGCCCTTTAGAGATTAGGGGAAACGCAGTGGAAGATCACCATATTTGTAGGTGTTGTTTCCATTAGTTTCCAAAGGGGAAATAATAAAGTAAAAGAGAATTGGACCATCCTCAGATGTCTTTCATGTACCCAAGTCTGGGAGAGAATGACAGGTGCAAGAATTTCTATACTGTTGTTGGGCCTCCAATATATGTATCACTTTCACCACTTTGGTACTATGCAACCAACTTTAAGTGCCACTGAGCAGGAAAAATGAAACAAAACCAAAAACATCTAAAGGAATCCAGCAACTGGAGAGGAAGATGGGTCAGAACAAAGAAAACACAAGTCCAACAGAATTGAACTTCTGGATGAGGTTCAATAGATAACTGGTAGATAATAATTTGAACTGAAATCTAGAGTTCTAAGGAGATTCAGATACTTTTCAAGAAGTCGTTTGAAGCTGAAACAAACAAAAATAAAATCTACTGTTTCCCTTCAAAAAAAAAAAAAAAGATTTTCTAATCGAAGAATTTACCAGAAGAATTGAAGGTAATGGAGACTGTGATGTGTTCCACACAACCTGGCCCTTCTTCGTCCTGGGCATGTAGGTGGATTACACTCCCCAGCCCTCTTCGCGCTAATGAGCACCCTCACTAATAGAGCTCTTGCTAGTGGAGCGTGACCAGAAGTGACGTGCACCAGCTCCAGAGCTGCCAAACTTCTAGCAGTGATCTGATTTTCTTCCTGAATGGAGATGTCTAAGGTGACTTGGGAAACCCTATGTTGAAGATAACAAGTGTCTGCCAAACAAGCTTGATTGAGCAGAGCAGACTCCCCCTGACTTTGACCATCCACACTTTCTGTGATCAAGAAATACCCTGCAGTGCTTCTGTCGTGGCTCAGTGGTAAAGAATCTGCCTGCCAATGCAGGGGACACAGGTTGCATCCCTGGTCTGGAGAGATCCCATACGCCGCGGAGCAATGAAGCCCGAGTGCCACAGTTCCTGACCCTGTGTTCTGGATCCTGGGAGCTGCAGTTGCTGAAGCCCAGGCACCCTAGAGCC